CGTCCAACAGACGTATGTATCCAACGTCCAACAGACGTATGTATCAAACGTCCAACATACGTATGTATCAAACGTCCAACAGACGTCTGTTTCAAACGTCCAACAGACGTCTGTATCAAACGTCCAGCAGACGTCTGTATCAAACGTACAACATACGTCCTAGACGAACGTCCACCAGACGTCTGTTTCAAACGTCCAACAGACGTATGTATCAAACGTCCAACAGACGTCTGTAACAAACGTCCAACAGACATCTGTTTCAAACGTCCAACAGACATCTGTTTCAAACGTCCAACAGACGTCTGTATCAAACGTCCAACAGACATCTGTATAAAACATCCAACAGACGTCCTATACATATGTCACGCAGACGTATGTATCAAACGTCCAGCAGACGTATGTATCAAACGTCCAACAGACGTCTGTATCAAACGTTCAGCAGACGTCTGTATCAAACGTCCAACATACGTCCTAGACGAACGTCCAACAGACGTATTTATCAAACGTCCAACTGACGTCTGTATCAAACGTCCAACAGACGTCTGTATCAAACGTCCAACAGACGTCTGTAGTAAACGTTCAGCAGCCGTCTGTATCAAACGTCCAACATACGTCCTAGACGAACGTCCAACAGACGTATGTATCAAACGTCCAGCAGACGTCTGTATCAAACGTCCAACAGACGTCTGTATCAAACGTCCAACAGACGTCTGTATCAAACGTCCAACAGACATCTGTATCAAACGTCCAACAGACGTACTTCACGAACATCCAACAGACGTATGTATCAAACGTCCAACAGACATCTGTATCAAACGTCCAACAGACATCTGTATCAAACATCCAACAGACATCTGTATCAAACATCCAACAGACGTCCTTGACGAACGATTAGCAGACGTATGTATCAAACGTCCAACAGACATCTGTATCAAACGTCCAACGTACATCTGTATCAAACATCCAACAGACATCTGTATCAAACATCCAACAGACGTCCTTGACGAACGTTAAGCAGACGTATGTATCAAACGTCCAACAGACATATGTATCAAACGTCCAACAAACGTCTGTATCAAACATCCAACAGACGTCTGTATCAAACGTCCAGCAGACGTCTGTATCAAACGTCCATCAGACGTCTATATCAAACGTCCAGCAGACGCTGTATTAAACGTCCAACAGACATCTGTATCAAACGTCCAACAGACGTCTGTATCAAACATCGAACAGACGTCTGTATCAAACGTCCAGCAGACGTCTGTATCAAACGTCCAGCAGACGTCTGTAGCAAACGTCCAAAATACGTCTGTATCAAACGTCCGACAGACGTCTGTATCAGACGTCTGTATCAAACGTCCAACAGACGTATTTGACGAACGTCCAGCAGACGTATGTATCAAACGTCCATCAGACAGACAGACAGACAGACATTCTTTATTTCCTCTTTTACAAGAGATTAAAGTCAATCAATACATACATATATGTTTACATTTCAAATCTGTATCAAACGTCCAGCAGCCGTTTGTATCAAACGTCCATCGGACGTCTGTATCAAACGTCCAGCAGACGTCTATATCAAACGTCCAACAGACGTATGTATTAAACGTCCAACAGACGTCTGTATCAAACGTCCAACAGACGTCCTTGACGAACATCCAGCAGACATATGTATCAAACGTCCAGCAGACGTCTGTATCAAACGTCCAGCAGACATTTGTATCAAACGTCCAGCAGACACCTGTATCAAACGTCTAACAGACGTCTGTATCAAACATCCAGCAGACGTCTGTATCAAACGTCCAGCAGACGTCTGTGTCAAACGTCCAACAGACGTCCTTGACAAACGTCCAGCAGACGTCTGTATCAAACGTGCAGCAGACGTATGTATCAAACGTCCAACAGACGTCTGTATCAAACGTCCAGCAGACGTCTATATCAAACGTCCAACAGACGTATGGATTAAACGTCCAACAGACGTCTCTATCAAACGTCCAACAGACGTCCTTGACGAACGTCCAGCAGACATATGTACCAAACGTCCAGCAGACGTCTGTATCAAACGTCCAACATAGGTCCTAGACGAACGTCCAACAGACGTATGTATCAAACGTCCAACAGACGTCTGAATCAAACGTCCAACAGACGTCCTTGACGAACGTCCAGCAGACGTATGTATCAAACGTCCAACAGACATCTGTATCAAACGTCCAAACGACGTCTGTATCAAACGGCCAACAGACGTCTGTATTAAACGTCCAGCAGACGTCTGTATCAAACGTCCAGCAGACATTACATCCAGCAGACGTCTGTATCAAACGGCCAGCAGACGTCTGTATCAAACGTCCAACAGACATCTGTATCAAACGTCCAAACGACGTCTGGATCAAACGACCAACAGACGTCTGTATTAAACGTCCAGCAGACGTCTGTATCAAACGTCCAACATACGTCCTAGACGAACGTCCAACAGACGTATGTATCAAACGTCCAACAGACATCTGTATCAAACGTCCAAACGACGTCTGTATCAAACGTCCAACAGACGTCTGTATAAAACGTCCAGCAGACATCTGTATCAAACATCCAACAGACATCCTTGACGAATGTCCAGTAGACGTATGTATCAAACATCCAGCAGTAGTCTGTATCAAACGTCCAGCAGACGTCTGTATCAAACGTCCAACAGACGTCTGTATCAAACGTCCAAACGACGTCTGTATCAAACGACCAACAGACGTCTGTATTAAACGTCCAGCAGACGTCTGTATCAAACGTCCAGCAGTCGTCTGTAGCAAACGTCCAAAAGACGTCTGTATCAAACGTCCAACAGACGTCCGTATTAAACGTCCAGCAGACGTCTGTATCAAACGTCCAGCAGACGTCTGTATCAAACGTCCAACAGACGTACTTGACGAACGTCCAGCAGACGTATGTATCAAACGTCCTTCAGACAGACAGGCAGACAGGCAGACATTCTTTATTTCCTCTTTTACAAGAGATTAAAGTCAATCAATACATACATATATGTTTACATTTCAAATCTGTATCAAACGTCCAGCAGACGTTTGTATCAAACGTCCAACACACGTCCTTGACAAACGTCCAGCAGACGTATGTATCAAACGTCCAACGGATGTCTGTATCAAACGTCTAGCAGACGTCTATATCAAACGTCTAACAGACGTATGTATTAAACGTCCAACAGACGTCTGTATCAAACGTCCAACAGACGTTCTTGACGAACGTCCAGCAGACATATGTATCAAACGTCCAGCAGACACTTGTATCAAACGTCCAGCAGACACCTGTATCAAACGTCTAACAGACGTCTGTATCAAACATCCAGCAGACGTCTGTATCAAACGTCCAGCAGACGTCTGTATCAAACGTCCAACAGACGTCCTTGACAAACGTCCAGCAGACGTTTGTATAAAACGTCCAACAGACGTCTGTATCAAACGTCCCACATACTTCTGTATAAAACGTCCAACAGACGTCTGTTTCAAACGTCCAACAGACGTCCTTGACAAACGTCCAGCAGACGTCTGTATAAAACGTCCAACAGACGTCTGTATCAAACATCCCACATACTTCTGTATAAAACGTCCAACAGACGTCTGTATCAAACGTCCAACAGACGTACTTCACGAACATCCAGCAGACGTATGTATCAAACGTCCAACAGACATCTGTATCAAATGTCCAACAGACGTCTGTATCAAACATCCAACATACGTCTGTATCAAACGTCCAGCAGACGTCTGTATCAAACGTCCAACAGACGTCTGTATCAAACGTCCAACAGACGTCTGTATCAAACGTCCATCAGACGTCTTTATCAAACGCCAAACAAACGTCCTTGACGAATGTCCAGCAGACGTATGTATCAAACGTCCAGCAGTAGTCTGTATCAACCGTCCAGCAGACGTCTGTATCAAACGTCCAACAGACGTCTGTATCAAACGTCCAGCAGACGTCTGTATCAAACGTCCAGCAGACGTCTGTATCAAACGTCCAAAAGACGTCTGTATCAAACGTCCAACAGACGTCTGTATCAAACGTCCATCAGACGTCTTTATCAAACGCCAAACAAACGTCCTTGACGAATGTCCAGCAGACGTATGTATCAAACGTCCAGCAGTAGTCTGTATCAACCGTCCAGCAGACGTCTGTATCAAACGTCCAACAGACGTCTGTATCAAACGTCCAGCAGACGTCTGTATCAAACGTCCAGCAGACGTCTGTATCAAACGTCCAAAAGACGTCTGTATCAAACGTCCAACAGACGTCTGTATCAAACGTCCAGCAGACGTCTGTATCAAACGTCCAACAGACGTACTTGACGAACGTCCAGCAGACGTATGTATCAAACGTCCATCAGACAGACAGACAGACAGACAGACAGACAGACAGACAGACAGAGAGACAGACAGACATTCTTTATATCATCTTTTACAAGAGATTAAAGTCAATCAATACATACATATATGTTTACATTTCAAATCTGTATCAAACGTCCAGCAGCCGTTTGTATCAAACGTCCAACAGACGTCCTTGACAAACGTCCAGCAGACGTATGTATCAAACGTCCAACGGACGTCTGTATCAAACGTCCAGCAGACGTGTATATCAAACGTCCAACAGACGTATGTATTAAACGTCCAACAGACGTCCTTGACGAACGTCCAGCAGACATATGT